AGTCTTAAGTTCACATTCAATTTCTCATATTTGTCGAACAGAGATGAAAAATGTTTGCTACAATTTTCTATTCAGACTTAATTTAAACGGGTTTTAGTACTTCACACTTGTGCAGCTCAGCATAATAGAGCGATAGAAACACATCTTTATTAGATACCAATTCCAAGGGACAAACAAACAAAGGACCTAAAATTGATGTGTTAATTGATGAAGTAGAACCTCCAGACTTGCTCCCTTCCCAGCTTCGCTCGTTTACAGCTCCCACATCGATACGTATTTGCCTTGTGTATGTATGTGTGAGAGAGAGTTGAAAACATGCAAATTGTTTACATGAAAATTCCATTATGCTTGCAGAGCAAAAGGAGGCTGTAAACCCGGTCGGAGGTGCAGCAGGAGCAGCTCATCGTGGCTAGACAACAAGCCCAAACAATGCATTATCTCTGGCTTTGGCCTCGGCTACAATGGCTGCAGCAATGAAAACTTCATGTAATATAAGTCAACAGCAGTTAGCCAATAAGAACCAGCCGGCAACAAAAACAGGAAGAACAAAGCGCTTTGTTTGAAGCCAACACACGATACCTTTAACAGCATCATCATCACCAGCATCAGCATCATCATCATCATTAAGGGTTTAAAATCTTTTAACTCTCTAACCAACACACAACACACACAGAAACACAGACACACCCACTCACACACACACACACATACACTCGAACAATGTGTGCTGGTCTATAAAATCAGCCTGGAGTTCAGAATTGGAATTGGTATCGGGTTCGGGTTCGGGTAGTTTCAGGGGGGGCAGGCAGACTTGCAAATGCAAAACTAAAACTGACTCCAACTGACGTCTGTATCTACATAAAATAACAACAACAACAACAGCGAAAAAAGCTTTAAAAAAAGGCTGATGATGGGCAGGAATAAGAAAACTCAGCAAGTCAGTCAGCTAGGACGTACGGCGGCCTCTTTGTTTTTGTTACAATGTGCCGACTGTTTGCCTTGACTGGTCAGAAAGTTGTAGCTGGAAAAAAGCCCACATGGCCAGCAGCAGTGCGAGGCGGGTGGTTGCCCTGGGGCCAGGGCCGCAGTTAAAGGTGGGGCGCAAGCACAAAATTTTACGTTCGTCTGGGCCCCATAGCCATAGCACACGTGTCTATGCAGTCTACCTGGCTTTTGTGTGTGGGTGTTTTATATATGTGCGTGTGTGTGTGTGTGTATCAATAACAACAGCAAAATGTGGCAAATGTAGCAAACGTCTAAGCCAAAACAGCAGCAAAAACAGCTAACTAGCTGAAAATTAGCAAAAAGCAAAATCGATATTACGTTCAATGTGCTTTGGGCGCTCATTAAAGTTTCAATGCCCCTTAGTAAATGTGTTTCATTAAAGCTGTTGAAACTTGTGCGCCTCAGTGGTTCCAACAATGTGTTAATACTGAGATTTTCCAGCTACCACTAATTAGTTAAAGCAAAATGCATTAGTTTTCCAATACAACACACAGATAGGCAGACTAAAGCTAAAGATTATTTTGGAGAGCAGCCTGAGGCTTGCTTGAATTTGGTTTATGCTCCATTTGATATAGCTTATATACAATTTAATTATTAATAAATCAGGAGTATATATAAGGAAACATTATGCTCATTTTGATACAGTTTATATAAAATTTAATTATTATTAAATAATATTTATAGAAATCTTGAGCCAGGGCTGAGCTTTATTAGCTCTTGCTTAAGTTTGGCTGCTTCGAAATGTTTTATATACAAGAATATTGAAGGCTTTCAAGCTTCATTAAAAAAAAAAAAAAAAAAAAAATTATAAAAAATATATATAATAATATTACTGGCCCTATTTCAGTTACAATGACTTGTCAAACGTTTTCTTGTCACTCGCAGCAATTAAATCGAAGCTGTTTTATTGATTGCCTCTAATTGACGTTTCTTTTGCGATTTGAAGCGCCTTACAAAGTCTCGAATTTATTAGCTAAGACGGCTACACCTTGATATTTTTCTGCGATAGCTTAGCTTAGGCCCATGGCTCTCACTTGGCATGAAGCGGCGCCTGTCTCTTTATGCCTGTGTGTATTTGTGTGTGTGTGTGTGTGTCGTAAATGGCTTTCACTCAACGTCATGCTGTCAATTTTGCTAATTAAGCCGAAAGCCACAAAGTAAGGAAACTTGTCCGCCTGTCGGCCTCGACTCGAAAGAATTTCAATTGAGGTCAGTCGAAGACGTGGCCGGACAGATAACTACAAATTTCGCTCAGCCATACACGAAAGCAATCAAAAAAGCTCGTCAAGCTAAATTATAATTGAAAAGCGAAAGCGTTACAAATTTCATTTCACAACTTGAATTTGTGCCAGTCAGCGCACAATTCGAGCAGGTCGCGACTTTAAGTAGCGGTTGCGCCTACTCAAGTGCTGGCTGGGGTGGGTGGGTGTTGGTTCGATGGGTGGTTGGGCATGGGGATGAGGATGAGGTCCTTTGCACTCTTGCGGTTTTTGGCTGACTTTTGGATATATATATACATATATATATGTATGGGATCGTGGCAGCGCAAATTGTTGGCATATTTCAGTTATGAAGAGCGTGTGGCAAGCAACCTTGCAACATGTCTGCTGAGTCTGTTCTTCAGTCTCGAAAATTGTATTAGTGCACGCTCTGAAGCCAACCAAAGTTATTTAAATTAAAGTCACATAAATGCCAATGTCGTTGTCGCCAACAAGACAGAGAGAGAGCGAGAGAGAGAGAGAGGGCGGGAGAGGGATAGAGTTAGTAAGAGTGAGACAGCGAATGGCAGTTTAGTGGAGCGGGTACTTGCAACATTTTTCGGTGGGTTCGTTGAAGTTTTTCCGCTCGCTGTGCGACGGCTGCGCTCCTCTATTATTAATTTAACATTTGCCTGGCATTTTCTTAGAGTCTCGAGTCGTTGCCATTTTGTTCGCGTCGCTGCTGCTCGGCTATGTTCATTAGCTTCCGTTGCGGAAGCGGAAGTGCTACACAGTCGCGCAGTCAGACACACTCAGTGAGCCCCACACACACACACACACATACATACTTACAGAAATACACTCGCATTTGTTGCCGCTCACTTGTTCGATTGCAACGACAACGATAACAAGACCCCCGAACTTTCAATTCAGCTCAGTCGAGCAAGTTGCTTATTTGTGTAATGCCAAAGTATTTTTATGGCATTTTTATGTTGTTTATAGACTGGCACTACCTCATGCACGGGGATCTAACAACTTTGTAGTGAGCTTTCCTAGAAATTCAGCAATTATATATGCCATATGAGCTATGTTAGCATTGTTGAGCTTTGCTTAGCTTAAAGGTGTGTTATCATATGAAATGAATTCTCTGTAATTGTCTTAATGTCTTTGCTAGATTGTAGCTGATCCCAGAAGGAATATTTGTTCCTTATCAGCAGCAACAGCTGAGTCCTTGTAGCTCCGCTCCTGCCTGCGTTTCTGTGGCTATCGCCACGTCATTCGCTTCAGGATGTCTCTCTGTCTAATTTGTGTAAAGAGCAATAGTTAACAAGTATTATATATTTTGTATATAATCATCCTATACCTTCTCTTTGTTCTACAACTATCCTCTATTTGAGCACTTTCAATTAAACCACTCCAACTAGTATCATAAGACTTTTTTCTTTTTCTGCTCCATTTAATTTTTTTCTTTCAATTTAGTTTCAATCAATAACAAAACTAGTCAAAAACACAAGACATGGAGAGCAAAACTCAACAAAAATAGCAAATCAATTGAGTTATTTTTAGAAATTTAGCTATTGCCTCAAATCGTTAGTTTGCCTGACGGATTTGACTAGTTGGCTAACTGAGTAACTAACTGATTTGACTGACTTGACTGCCTGCCTGACTGCCAGTTTGATTGTTTCGACTGCTGTCAAGCACTCTTTTTGTGTTTTTTTAAAGAATTTTCAGAACTCGTATACAATATATATATTTTTGACATTTAGTTCTGATTGTTGCACGCCTGCGCTGAATAAGGGCGCTGCCTTCTGCCGTTGCAATGGCGCTAAAACGGAAGCGAAGAAATTTGACTTCCGCAGCATGTGCTTCCGTTTGGTGTGTGTGCGCTTCGCTGAGCCGCTTGCCGCTTGCCGCTTGCTGCCTGCTGCCCGCCTCCTGCTGCCCACCTCCCGCTGCCTGCTAAAGTCGACCCATACTGTGTGCGCCGTGGACAATGCAATTTGTTGTAGATTTTGTTTACTATTTTACCAGTGTTTTTGTGCCTAAATAATGGTCTTAACTTTTTGCAAGCATAGCATCTCCTTGGCACTGTAAATCATCTCCATTGAAGGCATTGCAATTTATGTTGGAGCCCAACAAAAAATGTATATATATATATAGGCTATATAGGATAACGTAGCTATATGTAATAAATCTGTTGCCTAAGTGGCTTTCGTAAACAATGATATAATTTATATATAACAAATTTGTTTTTATTGTATTCAAGCAAAGACTTTAATGTATTGCTTTAAATGAAAATGATAAAGGTTTGGAATGCTATGAAAGGCGTATACTTAAGGTGAAAATTCTTGAATTGTTGAGTAAATATTTACAATAATTATATGAAATTTTGATAAGTTAAAATTAAAAAAAAAAAAAAATGATTAAAATTAATATTAGCAAACCAAATATTATGAAAGAAATTCCTTTAAATCTGTAAACTTGAAGAAGGTTTCGCTTGTTATTTACCATCAATTTAAAACATTATCAATAATATTAAAATACATTTTAAATTATTCCGTTTACGCAATCCAGTTGAGTAAATTTTACTTTTGTTAATATTTTTCATACGATTTTTTAGTTGATATCGTTCAAAAGATTATACAAGCAATATAAGACAGGCCATTGTCTGTCTCTTAATACCCGAAAGCGATTGCACAGACTTTGCTTTACGCTGCATTAACCATAAATAATAATACTCTCTCGCTCTCTCTTTCTCTCCCTCTCAATCTCTCTCTCTGTTTAATCTCTTTGCAGGCGTTTGCGGGAACAAATTGTTGCGGCTTTAAGCACGAGTGTGATTATATCGAGAATCAAAGTGTAAAATTCGCCACAGCCGCAAAACGCGCGATTCCGACTGTCAGCGCAGTAGTTGGTTGCAATAATAAAAGCAAACGGACTCTGCGTGAGTGTGTGTGTGTGCGTGGGTGTGTGGCGAGTGGCGATTGGGCAGCGGATGTAGCAGCTGGTCTAGAGCGACGTAAGCCCCATAAAAACGACATTAAAACAAATAAACAAATATACAAATACGATTCGCATTGGGAAAAGCTGTTAAAAAGCCCTTCGAACCAAACATGTTGGCCTTCCACAACGAGCACATTGCCAGTGAGTATAACTAAAGAATTTATTTCCTTTCGTTCATTTTCTTTTTTTTTTTTTTTTTTTTTTTTGAGCAATCTTTAAGCTTAAAGCCATGCTTGCAAATATAGTAATAATTTTAAAAGCACAGCCGGCCATGATTCGAGTGGCAAGGGGTATATGGTACGTATGTCTGGTTGTGTTCTTTGGCTGGCTGGCAGGAAAAATTGTAGAAATTTGTACACATTACAAACACTTGGGACACGGCAATTACACTTAAAAGGCAACTAGCGCCATTAAGCAATGTGCTTCGGGAGCCAGCTGCTCATATGGGACGCGCCAGCCAGAGTGAGAGCCCGAGCCAGTACCGGAGCCCAAACCAGAGCACGGTAGCCAAGGAACCGGCGAGAGTTAGTGGAGGTCTCGAAACGGACGGAAGCCGACGAGTTTTTCCGTTTTGCAAGCTAAAAAAGCGAACACAGCCTGGCAACACTTGCAATCCATTAACTCTAATGCTGTGCCATTATGTTATGATTAAAAAAAAAAAAAATAGAAGTAAAATAAGCCAGACGGCCTGCTCTGTGTCTTGTGAGACTTTGTCTACAAAGACATAACACAGATGCATCGGCTGCTGTACCTAAAAGGTATTTGCAAATTGATCAAAGGGCAGATATGTGATTATTAATGCAGGCAAGCAATAAAGGATGAGTTGTGGAGGTATGTTCAGAAAGGTTGACTAGCTGCAGCCTAGATTATAAATCATTTATATTTTGAATAGTAGGAGCAACGGGCTGAATTATATACAAAAATACTTGAATATTCCCAGTGTAAATAGACATACTCTGAAGTAGAGTGATAAGTAGAATATAGAATTTATATATCGTCTGTCTTCTGTTAGAAGCATATTAAAGTTCAATTAGGCTAACTCTCATTTCAACTCCTATGTGAGCCGATTCATTGTGCTGCCGTGGAAGCAACTCAAAGGAGCGCCACGAGTGACAAGCCAGACAGGCTTGAACTCTTTGCACTTAGCCGTGAACCCGGCTTAGTCAGTCAGTCGGTCGTGTACATTAAATTCAATTGAATATTTCATAAGCTGCCAAACAACAAAGTACAACAATAATATAAGCGAAACAGAAAACGGCGCACAAACACGAAAAACGGTTGCCAAAATAGTCAACAACAACAACAACAACTGTAACAATAACAACAGCCAGGGAAACAGCAGCAGAAGCAGCAACAACAACAACAACAACAACAACGATGGCCATTCACAGTCTGCAAAAGTAAAAGCATACTTTTTGGCGCTTCTGCCAATGCAATTGTCTGTGTATTGGTGTATTGTATGTGTCTATGTGTGTGTGTGTGTGTCTAGTGCTGTCTATACGTCCGGTTTGTCTGGCTCGATTGTGCTCGCTGATAATGGCCGCTGAACTTTGCTTTATTACATGCAAAAAAGAAAAAAAAGTAGAGAGCAAGCCGCTGATAGGCGAAGACTTTAATACGCTGTCAGGGCAATGCAAATTTACATAAAAAATAAAAATAAATAAATAAAAATAAAAATAAATATAATAAGAAATTAAATAAGTAAATAATTAAATACATAAACAAGAGATGAAATGAGATAAATAGTTTAAATAAAATAAAATATCAATTATAAATAGTAATTTATTTATGCAGTTTGCTTTAAAGTATTATTTGCCATGAATAATATATTTTTCAATATATATTTATGGGATGATTTAATAATAATATATGTATTTGTACTAATTTCCTGAGTAGAAAACAATTCAATTAATTCAAAATTGAATCATTCCATGAAAGTACATTAAATGTATTCTTGTGCTGGAATGATATAGTAGAGTATGATGTTTAAAAGTATTTTTGTGCTGATATAGTATGAATAAATCTATTTCAAGTGTTATTAATTTATTATTTCTTGCCGAATTATTGCCTTTGATAACAAACCACTTAACGAAGCTCTGTGACCCGCAGCTAGTGTATTGAAAAGAAGGCCTAGCATAGTCGAAAAGTCGTAGCCAAACCACAGACACGCTGGCAAGGAGCAAAGGAGCCAAACCACCCTCCAAAAAAAAAAGCAGCAACTTGCAGGCAATTGTGGGGCGTGCCACTCAACTTTTAAAGTGGCACTCAAACAAAGCACGAGTCGTGCAGAAAAGAAGAAAAAAAAAAGAACGAACCAAACTGGAAAATAAATTTTTGGGTATATGTCGGCGCGCCGCGCGCGCTCTCGCAGCTCTATAGGGGTGCCGCATGCCACATGCCACATGCCGCATGCCGCATGCAGCGCGCCGGCATCTAAATGCCGCCTTATTAGTCAACTATGAATTATGCACGGGGCTCGTATTATCTAATATGCCGCAGGCGTCTAGTTAAATAATTGACAGCCCGCAGCCCGCAGTCAGTGGCGCTGCCGCTGCCACTGTCGCTGCCGCAGTCGCTCAGGCCGAGGCCTCACGTAATTTGCCAGGTATTATGGGTTACATAAGTTATTCATTAAGTTATTATGTGTTTAAAGCTCACACAATGCCAGCAACGAGCTCGACTCACAAGAGGTGCTTAACTTTTATTGTTTATTGGCAGCCAACACACACCAACACACACACACACACTAGCACAGCAGATACTCTGTTCACTTGGCCTGGCTGGGCATTTCTCTCCTTTGATCTGACTTTACCTTTTGTTAAACGTCTTAAGTGCAGCTTCGCTTGTTGCACACCTCTCCAGTTACCAGCAAGAAAAGCCAGCAGCCAGCCGGCAGCCGGCAGCAACCAGCAGCTATCAGGCAACAGCTACCAGCTAAGAGCAACCAGCTAAGAGCTACCAGCTCCCATTTCCCAGTTGGCTGTTTTTATGCTCGCTCATTGGGTGAAAAGGGGTATATTAGCGATATGAAATGTTGTTCTTGTGAAAGGAGCGGCCTGTAAGAAAGTAAAGCTTCGTCTTAAAAAGTATTAAAAAATGGCCTAGATTATTCCCTTTCAGTGTCTGACAAATCAAAAATTGATATAGCTAGAAACCTCTATGAAACTGAGAAAATTATGTAGATGATTTATTAAAATACATTAAAAAAGAATCGCTGATGTTTATCATAAAGAAGACATTTTGAGGTAGTATTGTGCAGTCAGTTACAGCCGATTGTAGGGCTCCTCCTTGCTTTATTTTTATATATATTTTCACCCCTCCGGAAATTGTTATGCTTAATGGCTTTTCAGTTTTCGTTTTAGTTGCTTTTTATTGTGCTCTCTGCAGCTGGAGCATTTAATCTTAACTACTTTATAATTTATTTAGGTTCTGTTTCACGTATATATACATAATATATATGTATATATATATTTCTGAAACATCAATTGCGTTTGTTAACAATTAAAGGCACAGCTATTAATTGCTTCAGTGTAAAGTGTAAGAATAAGGTGTTTTCTGATGGCCTCTTAAGTTTTACTAGTTTACATTAAGTGTGGCATAAAGTAGAGTTAAGTTCTGTTGTTTCGTATTAAGAGCAGCTGTAGAATAGAGTATCCGCTGGCGCTCTTATCACAGTTGGCCCGTAGATTTTACATGTGTAAAAGTTAATTTGCTGTCGGGGCTTACTTTTTTGCAGTATCTTAAGGCGGCTTAGAGTTGAAGTAGTTACTGCTTTAGATCAATATCTAAAGCCGTTGAGGGAAATTGAGTTTGCTAAAGTTTTATTACCTGTTTTTTGAGGGCATCTTTTACAGTGAGTTAATGTGGAGATTAGGGAAGCGACTTAGCTATGAAAGTTGAGCAGAACGGCATGTGTATGTATAAAGGGCAAACTTAATTGGAAAACAGCTCAAAGGGAAGCTAAAGTAGTTTCCAGTTTCAAAAAGTATACAGAATAAGAATGCTGACACCGTATCTTATGAATAATGTCTTACATGCTGATTGAATGTTTCAGTGAGCTGAGACGAGCTACTTTTTCTCAGCAGCTTCCTGCTGACACTTTCAATTTCCAGGTCTAACCGAGTTAAGCTCAAGCCAAGCGTCGCGTCTGCCAATGTCAATCACATTAGGGCATTTGAATAAATCATATTAAGTTGATGTTTTTCACTTTCACGTTGTTTATTTTTTCGCATTCCACTTCACAGTGTGTGCATGTGCCATAAATAACGTATACGAGCTGTGGTCTCGCGGTGCCTTTTTGGCAAACTTTTCACTTTCACTTTCACCTCAAGCAAACAAAGCAGCAGCCATTCGTAGCGCTTTGTGGCTGACCAAAAACTGACATTTAGCAAGCATATTAACATGAACGAACCCGTTAATGAATCACTTTGGCCACACTGACCGCAGCTATAAAACGCGACCCTCAAACGGGGACAAACACGCACCGCCACAGCGAACCACTCAAAACTTGATGGTTTGCTGTTGTTAGCAAAAAAACTAAAAGGGAATTGACTCGTTCTTTCTCTATCTTTCTCTTTCTCTCTCGGTCTGGTTGCGAAAAATACCAAGCGACTTGAGGAATTTAATTAGCATAAGTTTTTGTGCGAAACGTAAAACAAAAATTGAAAAATTGAAATATCAAAGAGCTTGGCAGGACGACGGCGCCGCATGTTTTATGTATGTATTTATATTGTGCAAATAAGTTTATTTTATTAAAAGTTGCAAAACATTTCGCCAAGCGCAATGGCAAATGTAAGTAGGCAAAAGTGAAAGACGCAAAAAAAAAAAAATACAACAACAACAAGAAACAGAGCAGCAGCGAATGTTTGCCGCTTCTCCAATTGAAACAGCGAGACGGGGCACTTGTGTACTTTGCTGTCAAAGTCATTCAAATTCAGTGCATGCATAAAAAATTAACTTAGAAGAGCCGCCACCACCGCCGCCTCCGCCCCCTACAGCCATCCAACCACCCAACTAAACAACGAGCCACAGAGCAGCGAATTAAAGGTCTCACTTTTGTGGTAGCCAAAAGTTCTCTCAAGCCCTCTTCACCGAACAGCAAACAGCGAACAGCGAACAGCGAGCAGTGAGCGCCGAGTGCTTTGATGAGTTGCAATTAAAATTGGTGGTATGGCCTTGTCGACGTCGACAGCTGTGCGGAGAGGGAGGGGGTGCAAGGGGGCAGAGTCACAAATGCAAGGCAGCCAACAATTGAGGTTGGCTTTGATAGTTGCCACAGCAAATGTCAAAAATTTCATGTGCTTAAGAATCATGAAAACCCAAATGAAGGCCGCAATAACCAAATGAAATATGTCTAGGCAAAGTGGAGCAAGAGGGTGGAATTTATGGCATATTGAGGTGAAGAAGTGGAAAATTGTATTTGCTAATCTGAGTAGATGGCGGAGGAATTTGAATTTGAATTGTACATATGTCAACCTGAGTAGCTGAAAGAGGATAAAGTTAAGGTATATTCATGAGCTACAGCAGTTTCTTTTATTTAAGAATTAGTGCATAAGTATATCCCTTAAGTTCTTATAAGAAAAATGGAGTAACATTCCTAGAGATCTTAAAGATGACTCTGATAAATGACTTGAAGCTTTAGAAAACTTTATAATCTTATAATATAAATGTATAAAAATTTTTCTCTTTCATTTAAATTTTCAGTTAGTTCGATTTTCAGTTAAACCAATTGAAGTCTGTCTCTTCAGCATAAAATAAGTGCTTTTAATTGCTATTTTTATAACGTTTATTTCAAATGCACCTCTGTCAAATGGGTTTTATTCTTTGAGCGCGATGACAATTGACAATTTGGAACGTGCAATTAGTCGCATTTGTTACGTTTAGTTTAGTTAAAAGTTTCAGTCATTTTGTTAATTTGTTTTGTTGGCCCCTTTTCGACAAAAATGTATGAGTGTGTACGTGTGTGTGTGTGTGTTTATATCCTTTCGTTTCAGTTGGCATTGTGAAGCGGGTTAAGCGCGGCGTATGCGTAACTAATTGCTTTGACCAGGCAGCTAACAGCAGTTGCCGCTCCCATGGCCAACTAACCGGCGTAACGGGTCGCCCCATTTAAACGATGCCAATTTGAAGGCCACTCAACGGCACAGAACCAAAAGTGGAGGACTTCAACTAAAGACCAGAAGCACTTGGCTGCCAGGGCTTTGGCGCTAGCTAGTTCTCGCAACGACGCACATGTTGCAAATTGTCGCCAAATGTGCCAGTGGAGTGAGTGTGAGCGAGTGTATATATGTGTGTGTCTGTGTGTGTGTGTGTGTGTTTGTGATGAAAACAAAGCAACGTACAACAATGGAGTCCGAGGGCAAGCGTACCGAGACGAGACTGGCACGTTATAAAAATTGTATTTTAAAAGTCATTAGCAGCTTTGCTGCCTGTCATTGAGCATTGCGCGACGAAGGAGTTGACAAGCGTTTCGACTAACATTTTCTATCTTTCTCTTTCCTTCTCTTTTGTATATTCTGGTTGTTGTAAATGGCAGACTATAATATGTATGTAGCGGCAAGCTTGGCTGGCAATTATGATACCCTGTGCAAAGGTGCATGTGTGAAGAGCAGCTAAATCTAGTTGAGTTGTGGTGACAGAAGTTGCGTTGAGTATGAAATGAGTCTTAATATGAGAGATTCTGCTAAGTTGTAGAACAAAGATTAGTTAGGATTAGGAGCTTAGGTCTGCTTATATAGTCTTCAAACGATGTTCAATTGCCATATTGACTTATTGAACTCAAACGAAAGCTCTAAGAATTGTATAGCAACAGCCTTGGATATCTTCTCTTCTTCTCCTTTCTTATATACTTTCACTCTCTTCTTCTCTTCTCTTCTTCTTTCTCTCTCTGTATTTATCTTCCTCTCTCTCTCATTTTCTCATCCTCTTATTTATTTCATTATAACTTTACGCTTATATATGATATTTAATCTGATTAAGATATTAATAAAGCTAATGCTTATAAGTAAAATTATATTTTTTATTTTTTTATTTGACTAAATATATAATATAGATCACTTTTAATCCTATTTAGTAATTATGTTTTTATTCTGAGCATTTTGTCATTTTTCTGGTACTCATTTATTCGCTTTTGAATCCTAATTATTCATTAAAAGTTTTTATTCTTTTTTAAATAGTTTTTTATTTATATTTATATTTAAAAAAATATATTATGTATGCTACATATTTGGCTACTCTCTTTGTTTTGCCACATTATGTTTCAATTTAGCTTGTTTTTTTTTTTATTTTATATTTTTTTTTTTATTAATTTTTTTTTTTTATGTAGGTGTCGTGTTTAGAATATATTTTGTGGCAAATTTCTTGTCCCGGACCTGACTGCAATTAGTGTGCTTTGAGCAGAGCGTGCTCTGACAACGACCACACACCCGCACACATGCATACGGCCGCACACATACATACACACATATATATAAATGAGTGATTTTTAATTAATAAACTCATTAGGCCTGGCCTCGTTGTTGTTGTTGTTGATATGTCGTTGCTGCTGCTGCTGCTGTTGCTGTTGCTTTTGCTATGTTTTAGTCATTTTAATTACTGGCAGCTGCCGTGTGTTTGGTTATAGAACGGGCCTGTATGGCTGACCCCTGGCTGGCATATAATTTCCTGGCATTTCAACAATGTGCCGACAATTTTTATGTTTTTAGACGTTTTTGCTTGTTGGCAGCTGCAGCAGCGGCGGCAGCAGTGGCAGCAGCATTTGACGTCGCGTCGCCGGTTCGTTGGCAGCTTTTGTTGCCGCCTGTCGTTCAACTTTTGACGTGTTGCATGAGGCGCGGCCAGACAAAAGGCAATGCCAACCAACCGTTTTGTTCAACTAGAGGCGGGCCAGAAACGTGCGAGAGTTTGCCTAAAAATTAAATATAATTGTTGTTGTTGCTGTTGCTGTTGTTGCTGTGGTTAGCTGGTTAACACTACTGAGGACAGGCCACACCACAGGCACACACACAGAAGCGACGACAGCAGAGACAGCAGACAGCAGACACTGAGAGAGTGTAGTGTAGTGTAGTGTAGTGTAGTGAGTGAAGGCATTGGGTTTTTGGCGGTGTGAGTATCCATGCTGTGTGACGTTTAGAACCACATATCATAGTTGCTATGAAAGTAGTAGTTGCTGTTGTTGTTGTAGCTGTTAATGTTGTTGCCTGACAAGTGCTGCTTAACTGACGCTCTATCTACATTGGATAGAAGCGACGCTTAGCAGGTAAATAATTAAAGGGGGAACGGCAGAGAGCGAGAGAGAGAGGCAGAAATGAACATGTTGTATGAATATGTTGTTAGTGATCAAGAGAAGCAAATGCATGCATATGGCCTATTTCTCTTGGAAAAGGTTTAGCCTTAGAGCATAAATAGAGTAGTAGAATAGCTCTGAGAAATTTGTATGTTATATATGGGTCTGCTTATATAAATGGGATGATCTTGAAGGTATTGAACAGATCTGAATCTGCTCAGTTCTTTATTCAATATTCTCTTGATTAACCTTTAATTTAATAAACTTACTAATATAAAATCGATTGCCTCATAGTAAAACTAAAGAATTTGCATTGAGATTCACTAAAAATATGACTCTACTAATATTACTTCATATGAATTCAATGTATCTCATATTTACTCATACAAGACCAACTTATTATTGTAAGATAGTATGAACATTTCTTTGAATAACTCTGAGCATCTCTACTATTATATCCAACAAAAACTGCTTTCATGCAACACCTGTGGGCTCACTGCTGTTTTTATACATATATATGTACATACACCAAATAAATATTAAAAAAAAAAAAACTGAATAATGTCAAAGAAATTACACGGATTTATGAAATGGCCACAAAACGGCGCTAAACACGTTGACGCGCTCAACACGCAAAGCACCACAAAATTATGCGCAATTGTGGCTCAGCAGCGCTGGCAGGGTGGGGCACACAAAAGTCTTAATTGAGCGACAAAACGAAATGTTTTCCAAGCCAAACACGAAAATAGTTAGGCGCAAAGAGATAAAGGCTTAAGAGGCTAGCAAAGAGAGATTCGAGAGCTTTAAATAAATAAATCGAAAAAGGGAAATATGTCTGGCTGATTTATATTGAAAAAAGTTTATTTAATATTTATATTTTTTTCTTTAAGTTCAACTACCTATGACCATGGCTAATTAATTTAAATGAAATTTCTGTGCATTGAAATTTTTTCAGGTTGCGCCTTTCTGACCTACTTCAGCCCGGACAGCACAAACACGGCTGCCAATTCGCCAACATCTGGGGCACAGGCGGCGCTTTACAATGACAAACAGTCTATAACAGGGGTAAGTCAAAAGCTGTACATTTAATTAGTAGTCACTGTAGACACACGAACTCTTTAGCCCCCTCTCTACTCCAATAACCCACAAAAGTATGCTATAGAATTATTTTCATATATATGTATTATGTTAAACTTGATCTGAAATGCAAACATTTTTATTTGTTAACCTAATTTGCATACGTGTAATGGCCATAAATCAAAAGTTAAAACAACCAACAAATAAACTAAGCTCCACAATTAGGTGTTAGGGGAGTGGGAGTGTACATGCAAACTCTCTCTGTCTCTCTCTCTCTCTCTCTCTCTGCCTATCCCTGTCTCCCTCTCCCTCTCACTCTATGAGCATGCTAATTCTGTTTATTTTATGGCATAATTGTTAGCTTAGCTTCTGATAGGAGTTCTTTGGCTTTCAGATGCAGCATGTAACATTTTGGTATATACCATAATATTTAGTATTTATATGCTGTAAATTCCCTGAAATATATTTTATACATTTGACGAATATTTCATACTTTGCTATCTACCAAATCATAAGAAATACTCTCTAATAATTTATGCCTTAGTCGGTAGATAGCTTAGTTGAGGCCAAGTTCGAGGAGAAACTCACAATTGAAAATATATCTTAAGGAGAATATGTTCCCAATAATAATGAATGCTGCTGAACGTGAAAGCTGTGTAAAGTATTATCACTATTGATATCACCTTAGTCAGCTTTCTTGCTTAGATCAAGATTTAGTTCTACCTTCAGTAGTCCCTTAACTCACAAATACCTTAACTCCCATTTGGTTTGCCAACAGAGCATCAAATATTCGTCTATCCAAAGTTTCCATAAAGTTTTTTTTGTTCATCTATTTCAATTTTTGCCTGTGCATTTTGTGTCTAATTATTTTAGTTGCAATTGTGATTTTCTGCACAAGTTTTTACTTTAAAACAATTGATTGTTTAGATTGTTGTTGTTGTTGCTGTTGTTACTGCATTTTGTTGCAATTGTGATTAATTATTTTTAGTAAAAATATGTTTATCGCTCACTAATTGTGTTGATTTCGGCAATTAGCAGCGGGCCTGCATGGGCGTGGCAATGCTGGCAATGGTAAATTAAATATTTGAATATTTATAACAATTTTCACAGTCAATAAATAAAACACCTGCAGAGAATGCAACGGCACTGGCACAGAGAATGTGTAAACACGTTAAACTAACGTATGTTTTTGGTTTTCCATTTGAATGTGGCCAAAGGCCACAGGTCACAGAGGACAGAGGGCACAAAAAAAAAAAATGAATTGAAATATACAAATTTAAAATGTATTAGCCAAAAACAAGTCTTTAATGGAAATTGTGTGTAATGGCTTGTTGGCCAAAGCAAAATAAACCAAACACGTTTTATCCGCAGGCTGCCAACATGTGCCTGGCCAAGAATTCAGCTTCGATATATATTTTATAAATAGACTCAATTAAATATGTTTGGCATGAAATCGACTTTAGATGAAAGCTAAAGATCTCACACAACTTTTACAATTAAGCCAGAATTCTATTCAATTTTGCATTTAACTTATTATCAAATAAAACTATATATGGAATTGAATTGATGGATACATATATACACTATATATATTTGCTTATATGTATGTATATTAAAGCTTCGTTTCTCTTTTGCTCTCCACTCAAAAATCTACCTGCATAAATTGTCGAAAATTCATAAAACGAAATGAAATTTTGCATAAAATATTAAAAAGCAAACATAAAACATTTGCAGCAACTGCAGCGGCAGACGACAACAAGAAATAAGTTTATTGAATATGCAAAAATGTTTCAATGTAAGAAAAAAGGAGAAAAAATCGAAAGTCTTCTCAGCTCACACCAGCGCACTTGCCAGCCGACTCCTGCCCACTCCCGACTTCTGCTGCCAAACAAAGATAAATGGATAGATAGCCGCAGCCTAGCATTTTTGGCTTGAATTACTTTTGCTCTTGTTTTCATATTTTCTTTGTCTACAACACACACACACACACACACCGACATACAACGATTTTGTGGTCGTTTTGTATAGAAATTTATTACATTTTCTCTGCGTGCGAAGGAAGTGTGGCGTGTGGGCAGAGCACAAGCTGCAAGACTTGCCTACCTCATTCAAAACTTTGTTTTGTGTGCCACTTGTGCGGCGGCAGTTGTGCAACAACTTTGCTGGCAACTCTTTAGCATTGTTCTTGTTGCTGTTGCTGTTGTTTGTTGTCTCTGTTGTTATTGTGATACTTATTAAAATTTTCTTAGAGAGACAACAAGCAAGCAAAGTAAAAGTGCTACTTGCAGTGCTCTTTTTTCCCTCCATTCTTTTTTTTTCCCCTTTTCATCTGACCCAAGTGCGCTCTTTGTTATTTTAATATTGTGAGCGTAGAGTGGGCTGAGCAGTTGAAGTGCTGGGGGCGTGGCAGGCAGCGAATGCAAGAGCACTTGAGCATAATCAATTGTGTAATGTAATAGCTCATTCATTGGGACAATTTTTAATTAACTCACACTAGAGAGAGAGAGAGAGTGAGAGACAGAGAGAGAGACTCGAGTTGAGTTGAGTGGAGTGCATGTAATTCGTTCGTTTCGCTGTGATCTGCCAGACTTGCACTTATCAGTGGAGTATATAACTTCCGTTTCCGCTTCAACATACTTGGGCAAAGTTTGTGCAAATGAAATGCGCTTGTCCGCAAAAGGAAACAGTTTAGCATAAAAATGAAAAGTCAAGACGCCAAAACTACATATATATATATGTATATATATAGGGAAGAGAGAAGGAGCTGAAAATAATAGGGAAATCCTCGGACTCTGACAACTCTGGCAACTGGCAGCCGGGCTGGCAGGATAGCAGGCTGGCTTTATCTGAATCTTATACGCTGCTTTGTCGTATTCAAATTTCTATTTAAAAAGTCAAACAGTTCTCTGTATGTATGCGTGTGTGTGTGTGTGTGTGTGTGTGGGTGGGCGGAAAACTTGTGCAATGGCTAAATGCAATGCAAGGAAATCATAACGGAAATTTTTTCGAAAATGAAAAATATCTGCTGCAGCGCTCCAACTCGAGCTGAGTGCACAGGATGTGGGCAGTAACTTTGCACACATGCCAGCAGTGCACTGGAGGCAGCCAGGCAGCCAGTCGACGGCGGCCCAGGAAGTGTCTGCGAAGAAATGCTAGCGGAAAACAGCAAGCGGCATAGCAAAACCACCGAATCGAATAAAAAATACAGAGAAGCAGCAAGAGAAAGCGAGAGAAAGGCAGAGAAAGAGAGAAAGGGAGACAGAGAGAGAGAGAGAGAGAGATGAGGCAGTAGCAGCAGAGTGCATATATGCAGTAAATAATAAAGCGCATACTTTAAGAGCTGCCCCACAGGCAGCTGCAGCCATTGATTAATGGCCACGGGCTCTGCTAATTCTCTGCAATAAAGACACGACGCGCACTCGAGCCGCAAATGTATCTTTTGTGTAGCACTTGGGTTGGAGGAGTGGAGCTGCTGCTGCCAGAGGTTAGCTGGCCAGCTGTAAAATATTTTTGCTTACGTGGCCATGTAAACACACAGTGACAAAAAAAAAAAAAAAAAAAAAAAAAAAAAAAAAAAAAAAAGAAGAAGAAGAGGCAGAAGCGTACTGAGCGTGGCGGACAAATCTGTAGAAAATACTGCCGAAATCAGCAGAAAAAAATTTAACCGCAGTCTGCAATTAATCAAGCCGCACAGGCAGAAGCAGTTAGAGCCTGTAATTGATGCATGCTAACGACCAAAAAATGCTCTACTAATTGAGTTAGGTGTGTGTAAATTAGGTTTGAATAGCCTGATAAAAGAATATTAAAGTATTAATGCCTGAAATATTGGATAAAAGATAGAGAATCGATAAAGAATTCTTCTTTATATATGGCATACAATGTAGGGTTTTGATTGGGGAAACTGTGTAGGGAAAAGAAAAGCTTTTGGCTGTTATAGGTCAGTTGTTGATTTTTGCTGAAAATGGGTAATATTTGAAAATCTAGAATGAAATCCTCGGGTAGGGCCTAGTTGAAGAGAATACTTTAATTTATAGTTCAAATACTATCATCATTTGCTTAAAAAGATTATTTTCTGGTTCAATATCATATCTCACTATATCTCACTCTATTCATCAATCCATTCTCTGCTCAAAAATTCCTTCCTTTGAGCATAGATTCAGCTTCCTTTAACTTCATAAGTCAACTTTCACATTTTTCACGCGGATATACTCAATATCCCATCAGATTTTACATTCAACTATAGGCTATGCTACATAGCTCAAAAGTTTTCATGCCCTACCCTAGGGTATACTCCCTAATCTCTCACATTTTGCACCAGCTCCACTGCAGTGTCTAAAGATTTAGCTGGCGTTGCTCAGGCGTTGGGCTGTTGGCCAGTCATTTGGTCGATTGGTAGGAGTTTGGCTGCATCAATTTGGCAATTTATCTGGGCGATCTGCATTTGTTGATTTTGCGCCGGAGAGTCTGCCACAATGTTTGCTATTGTCCGCTTTGCATAAGAGCTAACGAACTAGATTTTTTCCTCGCACTTGGAGGCTTGGCTCGGAGGCTTTCTGTGCTGTGTCTGCACTCGGTCCGCTTCATTGGCATATCAATCAACGGCCAAAAGCGGGAAATGAATTCGCTTACTCACACGGCCGGCTCGCCGACCAAGAGATATAGTAAAAGCGGAGAATGTGGATGCCACGGATTTTTTATTTCCAGCATCGGTTGTGTTTTTTTTGTTGCTGTTGTTTTTGTTTTAGTCTTTTCTGTTTTGTTGGCCGCTTCTGCTGATGTAGTTGTCGTTGCTGCTGTTGTCGTTGTTGTTGCTGGCGCGGCCGGATGCCATTTTAATTAAGTGTTGGGGGCCTGTAACCGAACCGCCAGGACGTAGGCAGGCGTCGGTGGCGTTCTGGCGCCTGGCCAAAGCCCTTTTTGGCGTGTCTTCTCATTCTGACCGTGAGGAATTTAACATTTAGAACGGAAGTGTGCAACAAAAACGGGAA